TGTTTTTGTCATATTATTGATCTTAATGACTTCTTGAATGAAATATTTAAAAGGTACTTAATTATACTTTAATATTTTAACACCTGGAAAGTGTATTTTAATTGTGTAAATAAGTTATTTTCATGTAAATGTCTTTTATGTTGATAAGCTTTTCAGTGGGACAGCCACAATGATAAAATGATATAACATCTGAAATTTGGCAATGAATTGACAGATTTAAAAAACAAATGTCTCTAAAGCTAAGTCCTTGTGTGTTATTAGTTTATCTTTAAATTATTAGTAGGTTTTCAATAAAGCTATGTACATGTGTAGCTATTAACAGTTGAACTTTTAACATAAAGTTGGAGATGATATTGCATCAAATTGTGATAGTGATAATGACTATATTGTGTTTTAAAAAAAGGAATGGACTGAATGCTATATATTTGGTTTGAAAGTTTGAACCATATGACTTTTGAGGGATCTACACAAGCTGCCTCAGTAGTTTGGAAAGTGTTAAATTATTACAATCAGGTATTACTGTGACATTTGCTAGTATAAATGACAAAGTACACATGAAATAGCCTGCTAGCTTTAAGTAATTCCTTTATAGTGAGATCAGAAGATTCTAATATAGGAAGCTAGATTCTGTGCTTTATTTCAAACTTAATATTTCTATTTTAATCATTCTGACTTTCTCTGATTTTGTGAACAGGATACAGGACTAAGCTAGTAACATTTATTAAAATAACCATATAAATCATTACTACTTAAACTACTTTTGCTTTGAGGTGAGTTAAGAAACTTTTTCTTGTGATCGAGCCCCTCCTCCCTTTCTGATGCCATCATTTAGGAATCAGCATTCCAGAACAGTTGATATAGTTTTGCATTTTTTAGCTGGTCATGACAAACCAGCCACTGTACCCTCATAGAGAGCAGTACAGTACTTGTCACTGGTGGCCTTTCTGTGACAGAGAGCTTGTAGGCCGACATAAAGTGCTGCCTGTTGTTAACTGTCAAGTGAGTGTCTGCCAAAAACTCAGCAGACAGAACTAATTGGGGAGAAAAAGGACTTTTGTGCCCTCTTCTCTTTCTCTCTTTCTTTTTTATTTTTAATAAGACAGATATTGTTAAAGTAGCTTGTTTATGTAAGATTTGTCTGCTTCTCTTTTTCTCATTGCATGGATCATTTTTTAACTGAAAGTCTCGCACTGCAGGTTGTTGAGCACATCCACATGGAGGTTGGCATGGGACCAAATTCGAGACAGGCAACTTATAACAGTTGATGAAAAATTGGTAAGAATTTTCTGCTACATGCTGCTGTGACTTTGCCTTCAGGGTTATTTTTGTGCATTATTCAGTATGGTGTTTCGGATTCTTCTAGGAAATTGATTTGAGTTTGAATTTCTTAGAACATATGCAAATCTTAACTGTTTTCACAAAAGATAATTTTGTAAAGCACTATACACAGATATTGTCAGCTACAAATATTAAAATTAGGAAAGGCTTCTTCCATTGTGTGATATTTGTAAGTAGTAATTGGAACACTTTTTTCCTAATTAATTTTTTCTAATTAATATTGTTTTTTATTTTCTCTGTCACACTTCTAAGTTATGAGATGCATACTGGTACTATCTAAACTTAAGTTTATTAAGTTTTTCTGGAACCATCAGTGTTAACTTTATTAAATGTAAGTTTATGTACATTACACAAATACACCATTTCTTTGTGCACATCAGAGTTAAATTACAAGTAGTAATGAATAATCTTTTGTTCATCTGTAGTACATAGAATTTTGGCAACCATTACAAAATTTTTCAGTATGTTCTGTCACTTTAGATAATTTGATATTTATGCTTTTATTTTACAATAGCATGAAGGTTGTAGTATTTGCAACACTCTTAAAGAAATGAGAAAAAAATAAGTACTATAAGCATGCTTTTCATTTTATATATGGTTCACTATTTTCAGATATATACGTATGTGTCTCTTAACTACTCCCTTTGTAATGGCACTGCATTTCAAACTGTGAAGTAAATCATAAGTATTTTAAATATAGAAATAGCATTTTAAAAACTTATTTTTTTCCACATTTTTTATTAGAGCATATTGATTATACAGATTAATGGATTTCATTTTGGCAGATTTATACATGTACATAACATACTTGAATCATTTTCCTCCAACCATCCCGCCCAGTTTCACTTGGTTTTCTTGAGGGGGTGTTCAATGTATGTAATGTATTTTGATCATACTCATGCTCCCGTTTACCTACTCTTGTACCCTCTCCCCCTTCTTTACTTCCTCTTGTCTAATAACAGTCTCCCTTCTACTTTCTTTTCATCTTTTTAGATTGAATTGAATAGGGAGAACATTCAATACTTGTCTTTCTGAGTCTGGCTTATTTTGTTCAATGTGATGATCTTCAGATCCATTTTTCTGCAAATGATAAAATTATGTTCTTTTTTTATGGCTGAGTAATACTCCATTATATATACACTCCATTATATATATACACACACATATAATCTTTATCCATTTATCTGTTGTTGGGCATCTAGGCTGGTTCCCTATCTTGATTGACTATTGTATATTGTGCTACAGTAAACATGGGAATGCAGGTATATCTATGGGATGCTGACTTTTTAGGTATATATTAAGGATGGTAGCTGGATTAAATAGTAGTTCTATTTTTAGTTTTTTGAGGAGCTTCCATATTGATTTTCATAGTGGCTGTACTAATTTACATTCCCACTAGCAGCATGGGAGGGTTCTTTTCCCCCCACATCTTCACCAGCCTTTCTGACTGGGGTAAGATAGAATCTCAGTGTAGTTTTGATTTGCATTTCCCTAATGGCTAAAGATGTTGAACATTTTTTCATATACATTTTGGCCATTTGTAGTGCTTTTCTTGAGAAGTGTCTGTTCAGTTCTTTTGCCCATTTATTTATTGATTGGGCTTTTCTATTTTTACTTATTTATTTTTGATGTTAAGCTTTGTGAGTTCTTTATATTTTCTAATAGTAATCCTCTGTCAGAAGAATATCTGTCAAGATTTTTTTCTATTCTGTAGGTTGGCCCAGGCAAAGACTTCTTGAATAGGCTCCAATAGCACCAAAAATAATAGCAAGAACAACAAATGGGGCTACATCAAATAAAAAGTTTCTGCACAGCAAAGAAATAGCACTTTAATATTACTATTATGTAATATAAACCAATGTATTGGATTAGTGTACTATTTTTCTTAACTATCCAGAAGTAGATATTTGTGATATTTGAACCTGACACTGGATGGAAGCTAGGCTCCTAATTGAAATAAGGGCATTAGACATTATCATGATATCTGTTGAATATTCATATATAATGTATTTTAAAAATTGATATAGGTAATGCTCAGGGCTTAAGTATATGAGCTAGACTTAGTTAAGGATCAATTTTAATGGTTTTCTGTGTATTTCTTTTTTCTGAAAATGGATCATAGAAATTTAAAACTAGAAGGTAACTTTAGGTGTTACCTAATCATGTTACCAAATCTAGTTTTTTTGTTTTGTTTTTGGTACTGGGGAATTGAACTCAGGACCTTGTGCTTGAGAGGCAGGTATGGTGTCACTGAGCTAAATCCCCGGCCCTAGTTATTTTTAATTTTAAAAATAGTTTAACCTTTTGTTCAAGAGAAATCATATGTAGAAATCTAATAAGTAACAGATAAAAATTGAACTCTTAGAGTGGTGAGAGCTGAGGCAGGACATTAAGGAAGACTTTTAAGCCCCAGGTAGCCATCTGAGGAGACTTCATGGAGTGAGACTTGGAATAGTTTAATATTCTGCCATTTTTCAGTAGATTGAACAGCTGATTTTCTAACTTTGGTTTTTAAATTTCCACTTAATTTTTTTGTGAGGTTGCTTTTTGTATTACTGATCAGCCATAATTTTATTTGGCTGTTTGTTTTGTTTTTTGTTCTTTTATGAGACAGGGTCACGCTGTTATAGTCCAGTCAGGCTGGCCTTGAAGCTTGGTTTGTAGGCTGGGCTGGCTTTGAGCTCCAGACCCTCTTGTCTCAGCCTCCCAAGTGGTGGAGTTTACAGGGATGTGCCACTGCACCTGGTACTCAGCCACAATTTTAAAAAGCTCTTTCTTGTGAATAATCAGTTGTCTTTTCTACAAATGATGATGGAAAACATGTATATTTATATGCAGAGTTTAGAAAAGAACTTTGATCTATATCTGTGCCATACACAAAATTTAATTCTCAAGTCTTAAGTATAATCTTATGTTTCTAAGTTTCAAACCAAAATATCTAAAATTTCTAGAAGAAAATGTAAGAGATCTTTATTATTTTGGTTCAGTATTTTTTTAGGTATTTTGCCAAACATCTGTTTTTTAAATAAATTATAAAATTAGACTTTCTCACACCAAAACCTTCTGCTCTTTGAAAGGCATTGCTAGGAGCATGAAAAGATAAGCTACAGATGAGAGAAAGTATTCGCAAAATATATTTGACAAAAAATTATACCCAGAAAATATAAATGACACAAGCCAGCTTCATAAGACTATATACTGTATGATTTCATTTATTTGGCATTATAGAAGAGGCAAAACTCTAGGAATAGGAAATTGATCAATGATTTTTCAGGACTAGAAGGTAGGTCAGGAGGGGATAACTATAAAGGAACATGAGGAAATTGTGAAAGTGATGCATTATTGAAGTGGTGATTCTTTTGTCAAAATCTGTATTTCTACTCCTAAAAGAAAAACCACAAAATTGCACACTAGAAAGGACAAATTTTGTTTTAAATTGCATCACCTTATGAAAGGGGATAAAAATAATTGCTTGATTTGGTGGCAGTATACTTTTTAATGATTTCTATCCATTGATTCAAGGTCTACCCTCACAGCACATGTGTGCTGTTTTCTATGTAACAGCATTTGAAACACCTCTCTGGTAACCTGGTTCAGTTCTCAGGGTGCCTAAGATTTTTTTAGGAGGTCTACAAAGTTATTTTTATAATTATACTGTCTTTATTTGCCCTTATCACTTTGTTGACATTTACACTGATGGTACAAAGTAATTGTGATAAAACTCTTGGCATATTAGCATAAATAAAGGCAGTGTGGTGCCAGTAGTTATATCCTTCACCTCCATGCATAGTTTAAAGTAAAACATTTCTAGTTTTACTTAGTGAAGCAGTGAAAATTTTTAATTTAAGAAAATCTCAACCGTGTGTACACATCTTTTTATGTTTCATGTAGCAAAACAAGTACAGATAACACTTGTGCTATATACAGCACAATGACTGTCTTAAGGAAAAACCTTTGTATTACTTTCTGTTGGAAACTGAATTAGCCACTTTTTTTCATATTACAACTTTTAAATGACAAACTCCGATTATTCAGTCTTCAGTATATTGATGGCAGATATTTTCTTGAACATGAGCATATCACTCCAAGGAAATGTTGCCCATAGTAAAAGTCAAGTGAAAGTGAGAATTTTTGTAGAAGTTGATTCTACCACTGATCTGATTGATTTTGACACTTTCCTAGTAGTACTTAAAAACTTCTAAGTATGGAGATGACATTAACAGATGTGTTTTTTTATGTTATGTAATGAAATATCACGTACTATATTGATATTTGGAAGATGTGCATACCTCTGTGAGCCAGTATTTTCTGTATGACCAGTGCATGGTGTTATAAGTCATGAATGGGTAAAAGTTCCATTTAAAGTGCCAAAGATAGAAAAGTGGATTTTTAATGAACACACATAGAAAAAGAAAGATTTTAATGAACCCAAGTATGAAAATATTACAGCTACTAAAAATATTGCTTCATTTTCTAACTACGTATCTGTATGATGAACTTTATATATTATAATCAAAACAACTTAGCAGTTTCAACTCATGAACAGATGTTACAATTCAGCTGTCTACTCTTAAGCTAGACATTAAAGAGATTTTCAAAGTGCAAATTAATGTCACTCTTACTTGAGTTTTTAGATTTTGAAATCACTTATTTTTCATTAAAATGTTTATATTAATGTATAAATTGGCTTATTTTAAATTATTCAAATTTTTTCTTCTATTTTACATTATTATATGGTAAATATCTCTGGATAGATTCATATAAACAAAATCTTATTGGAGACCCTTTAAGAATATAAAAGAAGGCCTTGAGGCCAAAAAATAATGTTCTCCCAAGTATTCTCTTTTCAGAATTAAACATCCCAGGAGTTTGATTTATTTCGCTTGAGTTCCAGGTAATTAATCATCTTGATTACCTTCCAGTTTCACTGAATCTCT